CACTGGCTCTTTGGCTTAGTAACCGAGATGAGCATCTCCCCGGACAAGACTTAACAACTTTGTCAATGGAGAATACTTTTATGTTTATTTTTGTATACTTGAAAATGCTTGTACATCCAGTGAAGACAAAATAATTGTCTTCATTTTAATAATATTGCTGGTTTTTTCATTATTTATACTTGGGTGTACTTTACCATTTTGGATCTTCTGATTCCATTTGTAAGATAAAAAAATAAAATTGTAAAAGGTAAATTCACATGGTAATTTGTAATCTAAAGAGGAGGGGAAACAGTTTTTCTCCCATGGTTCCAAAATTTCCAGAAATACCAAATCTCTAGAGTTGTTAATGTCATAAATTTCAGTCTTAGATTCTCATATTACTACACTCCTAACTTTTCTTTTCTAAATAAATAGGCCATGCATGTAATTGGAAGCTGACCTGCTTGGATCTGCTTTGCACTGGGTACAGGACAGTTTGCTCCCATGTAGGTTTGTACTAAATTACAGCCTTAGATTTACAAATCTTGTGGCCATTGTCACCATTTATTTCTATGAAGATAAAATTCTCTGCCAAGAACACAGTATTTCAGTGGATAATGTTACAGAAAAAAACTATCTCGCACCCTACTTAAATAATCCTCTGAGGGACTATAAAAAATGCCAACAAGCAAACAAAGAAAAATAAAAAAATACAAGAGTACAAGAAGTTCAATTTTGGGGGGAAATGTTGTTGTTGGTTTTTTTTAAATGTTAAACAGAACAGACAGACTCTGAAAGCTATTTAAAAGGCCAATTACTGCCCAGAGGCTTCCATAAGAGACAATTCACCCTTGTTTTGGCCAGTCTGGGGAGTGTGGAAGTGTCAAGAGATACAAAAACAATCTTGGCATCTACAATCAGCCCAAAGAATGCTTTCTGCCCACTCCTCCTATACATGTTTAATCAGAAGGAAATCCAATTTAATTCAATAAGATGTAATGCTAGGGAGATGGGTACAGAACTGCAGCACCACTCACACTCTCTTCTTTCATTCACACCCACTAGTGCAACTGAAAAGACTTCATTAGGCTATTAGTCATTCAAATTGATTGACAAGCTTGGTTTCTCCTGACACTGAGTTAAAAATTCTTTCCAAGCCTTATTGCTCATTTTGTAGATCAATATTTCAGGAAGACAACCATGTATTACAGATAACTGTCTAATCAGAATGTTATCTAACAAGTAAGCACACTTTCTGAGCTGTGTTTGAAAGAGCCAGAACTGCTTATCACATGTAGCTGATGGATAATATAATAATAACAGAACAGAAGAGCTGCAGTAGCTTGGGATGCAAAGCTGAAATAAAGATAAGAGTAAAAAAAAAAAACCCAGAAGACAGCGATCCACAACCTTTGTCAATTTCCAGCAATGTCCATAGTAATCAACTATGTTACTTCATAGCATGCTGTTGCAGGAATATACACTGGTAGCGTTAAAAAAATGTGACATGCTATCTCTGCATAATAAGAGACAAAGGGAACATTCATGTTCATCTACAGCAAATTGGTAAGAAAGTTCTGATTTGTCATCTTTCAGGGTTAAAGGCACCAGATCCTGTCTGATCTTGGAAGCTAAGCTGGGTCAGCTCTAGTTAATCCTTGGATGGCAGACTGTCAATGAATACTATGTACCGTAGGTTGTATTTCAGAGGAAGAAACTAGCAAAACTACCTCTGGGTATTCCTTACCTAAGAAAACCCTATGAATTTCATGGCATTGCCATAAGTTAACAGGCAACTTGAAGGCACATGTACCAAGGGATGGGCCTTTAAAATAGTTGGTATCCATACTGCCAAACACTAGTTGTTTGAATAACCCAAGAAGCTAAAGTGCTTTCTATTTCCATCTTTCGTGAAATGCCAAACTAGATGTAATGGAAGCTGCTATGTGTACGTTGCACAGGTCTTGTCCATTCACACAAAAATGGCAGCCGGGGGGGAGGGGTTGATGTTCCTTGTGTTTTTAGCCCAAATGTTTCTTGTGTTTTTACCTTCTGTCCTTTTTCGTAATAGGTACTTTTCTTCCTTCCTGGTTCTGATAACAGTGTAAGGAAACTGCAAAGCAGCAGTGTGTCTAGGCATCCAAGGCCAGGAATGAATGGTAGAGACCTCTGTTACTAACTGCAAGCCTACAGATGGTTAGCAAGCAACAGGCTGTTGTGTAGGTAAGGTAAAAAAGCACAGTTTGCAGCATGTTGGCTAAAGACTTAAGGAATGAAGAAGCAATCAGATTCTTAACTCATTTTCTTTCTTAAGTTAACTGAAATAATTATATCCAATATTCTCCATCAACACAGAGTAATGTATAGAAGGATGTATTATCATGATTCCTTTTTTTTTTTTTAATTTATAGGTTCAAATATGGGGAGGATATATAAACATTATCAGTATTTTGTCAGTCTTTTTATGAATCTCATTGTGTTCCACTGTATATTTTTAACAGCTATAGTTTATGATTTCAGATATTTGTCATTCTTGATGACAAATAAAAAATAGGATTATGACTAAAGAACAGGATTACAATTGAATGGATATTTGAATAGTGCCAGAAACCGAAAACAAATGTTAAAAGGGGAAGTTTACAAATAAGGTAGCAAGCACTTAATTAGAATCCCATCCTGTGATAATTACCACAAATACTGGAAGCAAAAGAATCTTCTCAGCTGTTTCTACCACTGTTGATAGAGAGGGAAACTAGATATAATGTCTGCCATGTGGTTTGACCCTTCATTTTAAAAAAATACCTGGGAAAAGATATTAAAACTCAGGAAAAATGATTTTATTAAAAGTTCCACCTCCTTGTTGTTTCCTTTCCATCATTAAAAAAAATGGACCATCTCTCTCTCTCTCTCTCTCTCTCTCTCTCTCTCACACACACACACACACACACACACACACAGAGAGAGAGAGAGAGAGAGAGAGAGAGAAATATTTGTAGACTGGGGCTATGGGAGAAAAGGACTTTAACCATTTGCCACACTGGAGTCTAACCACTTCTGGCCACTCATTTTCCTCTTCCTTTCACTCCCTTTCCTCTTATTGTGAGTATCACATATGAGGGATTATGGTCAAAGAGTGGACATAAGACATGCCAGAATTCTGAACTGGACTGATTAACTTAGAAAAAGTAGTTTGCTTTTTTAAAAAAACAAAACACATTAATGATCAAATCATGTGACAAATATGTGTCCAGACTGTATCAGCCATAGTTTGACTTGAAGACTTGAAAATGAATCTGTATGCAGGCCAAACCACAGTAGACCTCACCTCTGACTGTGGTAATGGAAAACCAATTTGAACTAGACATGCCCAAGTACCATATTCAATCTATGCAGAACCAGACTGCACGGTAGGTGACTCTCTGAATGGATTCACAGGTTGATAAAAGCAGGGGTAGGCAACCTTTCCCCTTTAAGGGCTGAGGGACTTCAGCTCCCAGAATCCCAGAAGCTATGGGCGAACATGGGACTATTGGCCAACATGGCTGAGGCTTCTGGGAGCTGAAGTCCCTCGGCCCTTAAAGGGAAAAGGTTGCCTACCTCTGGATAAAAGAATCTGGGGTAAAGCTGAATAACTGAGTGATGGAACTTGTTAATGGAGAAACTGAGATAGCTGCTATGAGATACAGAAAAAAGAACAGGGATTTGCTTAATATCACATGCTATTATCTTTTATTAGGATGGCACAGAAAGGGTGGAGCTGATCTGGAGATGCGAATCAAATTGCTGGTAAAAGAGCTGTTTATCTATAAGGATCATGTCTGCAAAATTTTCTTCAGTGGTTAACAAGGGAACAAAGAGTGCTGTGTGAAGTTGTAACACGTGGTGCTTCCTAAAGAGAAGCAACCCTACAGGAAAAGACATCTGTGTGAAATTTGGTTAAGCAAAGTTCCATTTCAGCCAGCCTAGCTTCCTGAGATGTCAAGAGATACAGTTATATCAGACCAGAATTAATCACAGGACCAGATGGTGCAAAAGCACCAGAAGAGCTAAAAATCCTTCAGTGTGAGCAATCATCACAGAGAATTAAAAGCATAAGAACCTGAAGCATTATTTCTTTGGACCAGAACTCCAAGAATCCCTAAGTAAACATAGCCAGGTTGTTCTTAATTTTCAACTAAAACCAGTGGGTCTCTTAAAAGGTGTCCCCTATACACACATTATTTGTTCTACTGTGCCATTTACATAAGAAGAACTAAATATCCAATGCAGCAATTCACAGGAGCCAAATTCTGATCTAGTCAAAACAAAGCTGAGTACAGTATTCACTTGCAGGCAAAGACAAAAAAGCAACAGCAAATAAAGTAGCAGTACTTTCATTTGCTGTGACACCACCGTGCCAAAAATATCTAGATAAAAATGTGGTAGATTCTCTTATTGATAACTAAGAGTACTGGCTGTTCTTAACACTGTTCCGTCTCTGGAATCATAAAGCATTGAAAACTGCCTTCCTCTTTTTATAATGACTAGTTATGACTTATGGTCTCTTGACAATCAACTTTGAACTGAGCTATAAGTGGGTTA